ATGCAAGTTTTTATTTTCTGTGATTGGGTGGCCTCGCTTAATATACATTTTAGGTCATCCATTTTCTTGTGAATTTGTAATTTCATTTTTCTAAAGGGCTAAATAGTATTCTATTTAATATATGTGCCAGATTTTCATTATACATTCTTGTGCTGATAAACAACTAGGTTGATTTAATTTCCTTGCTATAGTAAGTAGAGCAGCAATAAACATGATGGTACAAATATCTCATGAGTAAGGTATGGTATCTGGATACAGGGCCATGAGCAAGATAGTTGGATCATGTGGTAGTTCTATGTTTAATATTTTGAGAAAAATCCACACTGATATCGATAATGGCTGTTTTGCGCTAGTTTGGACTCCCACCATGAATAAACAAGTATTCCTCTTTCCCAACAACCTCTCCAACATTTGTTGTCATGTTTCTTGGTAATAGCCTTTCTGACTGACATAAGGTGGCATCTCAAATTAGATTTTATTTATGAGTAGGAAGGTCGGACACTTTTATAAATAGCTGCTGACCACTTTTCTTTCTTTTTTGAAACCTGTATAATTCATTAGCCTATTTGTTAACTGGTAGTTTTATTTCTTCATATTTCATTATTGCAGTTCTCTGTATATTCTCATTATTAGTCTCTTGTCCAATGTATAGCTTGGAAAATGTTTTCCTGTTCTGTGGGCTGTCTATGTACTGTGCTGATAGTGCTGCAGCATTTCAAATTAAGACTTTATTTTCTCAGTGTTAGTTTGTGTAAGTATGTTGGAAAATATAGATCTATTATCCATTTTAAATAGATGCTTCACATATTACACTTGACTCTTAGTTTACATGATTAGGGAATACATTTATCTCCTAAGACACAATGAAGGGCCACATGTCAATAATATTGACAGTGCGTCCAGGTGCTGATACACACAAATATTCCAGCAAGTCCAATATATGATTTTTCACAAAATGAACAAAATGAAAATTATTCTCTAACTTTTCTTTCAACATAACCTATTTCTACTTTTTATCCCCATGCTTATAAAAATACAACTTCTCAAATAATTTTTTCTAATAAAAGTTAAAATAATATCTTTCAGATTAAGGAGGAAAAAAAGCAAAGTTAAAAGTCCTGCTTAACCAGTGGCATATATGAGATGACAACATGAAAAGTGACAATACCCAAGGCCATATGACCTGCCATTGCTAGAGACACCATCTCAGACATACTGACTCTTGGAATAGTCCAAAGACCATATTCTCTCTCCAATGAAAACTAAGTAATGTTTGCTTTTCTGTAGCCTCTTTGTGAAATTATTTGTACCAATTACCCTTTTTATTACTTGGCTTAAGAAACCATTCCTTACATTTAAAAAACTGAGAATGATAAAAATGAGCAGTATTGGATAGCCTATTAAAAATAGTAAAAATTGTCAAAGCATTATAATGGTATTATTATGGTGTAGATATTTTTACTATATTTTAAGGAAATTGAAGGCCAGAGAAAATAAACATCCTTCAGCCCACATGGCTAACATGTTGAAGCATCAATTCCTATTTTTAAATACCAAGATGCTTCTAATCTCAACCGTACTCATTTAATGTGTGTTTCCACACTGCTTTCCATAGTGGTTGCATGATTTTGCAATCCCACAGTGAAAGGTTAGAGTTAAAGCTGTAGTAAAAACCAGGTTGATTAAATTACCGTGAATTCAATTTCATATTTTAGGTTCATTTATCATTTTTAAATCCCTTTACTACTGAAAACATAGTTCCAATTATATAATATAAAACTAGCGGTACCTATTCATCATTCAGGAGTGTGTTGTTTATTCTCCATGAGTTTGTGTAGTTACTAGATACTTTTTTATTGATTTTTAAAAAAGATTTACTGCATGGTGGTCTGATAGAATGCATGGAATTATTTCAATTTTTTTTGTATTTATTGAAGGGGATTTTTTTGTATCTCAGTATGTGGTCAATTTTAGAGAAACTTCAATGAGCTGCTGAATTAAAAGTGTATTCCTTCGTGTTTGGGTAGAATATTTCATAGATGTCTGCTAGGTCCATTTACTGTATGATGTCTTTTAATTCAGATGTCTCTGTTTGCACTTTGTCCAGTTGACCTGTCTATTGGAGTTGGTGGTGTATTGAAGTCATCAACTATTACTGAGTTGGTATTAATCTGTGTTTAAAATCCTATAGTACTGCTTTTATGAAGTTGGGTGCACCAGTTTGGTGCATGTATGTTCATGTTATAATACCTTCTCAGTAAATTGTTCCTTTGATCAGAATGAAGTGAACCTTTTATCTATTCTGCTTAGTTTGAATTTGAAGTCTATTTTATCAGATACCAGAATAGCAATGGCTGCTTGTTTTTTAGTGCCATTTGATTGAAATATGTTTTCCATCCTTCTACCATAAAGTAGTGCCTATATTTGAAAGTGAGATGAATTTTGTTTCCTAATCCATTAAACCATTAAACTACCCTGTGTCTTTTGACTGGGCAGTTGAGACCACTGATTAATTTAGAGTTATTATTGAAAGATATGTATTGGTTACTGTCATTTAACAAAAGAAACCAAATGCTGTTGAAGATATGAAGAAAGGAGAAAGACCTTTCACTAGGGGATTGCAAAATTGTGCAACCACTATGGAAAGCAGTGTGGAAAACTCTTAAAACTAAAAATAAATCTGAAATATAATACTGTTATAACACACTATGGCATGTACCCAAAGGACTCATCCTACTGTAAAATATTTGTACATCTTTTTTTGCTGTTCTTTTCACAATTGCTAAGAAATGGTAACAGCCTAAATGTCCCTCAGTTGAAAAATGGATAATAAAATGTGGTACATTTATACAACACAGTTTTGCTCAGTGGTAAAGAAAGGCAAAATCATGAAATTTTCAGGTAAATGGATGGACCCAGAAGCTGTTATACTAAGTGAAGTAACACAGACTCAGAAAAACAAGCAATGTATGTTCTCTCTCAGTTGTGGATCCTAGGACCAATCCCTTATATGTGAGTATATATCCTGCAGGAGTCAGGAAAATGGAAAGGGACCATGGAGGGGAAAGAAAAGAAAGGGCCTGAGAGGGGGGGTAGTAGGGTACAGATGTTACCAAGGGAGAAATGGGAAAAATGGGGCATTCAACTGGGAATGGAGGACGGAAGGACATACAAGGAAATACAGCGGTATGGGAGAAGAAGGCTCTCAAGAGAGGGATAAGTAATAGGAGAGAGGAAATATCAAGGGGAAAATAGGGGAAATGGGGATATTTTAACTGGGGAGGGAAGGGAGAGGATAGACAGGAAGAGAAAGAAGAGAGAAATAAAGCTTAGATGATGTGCAAAACAGAAGGAAATGTATTAACAGGAAAAAAAAAACTACAAAACTGAAAAAAATGTGTATAATGTGAGAAATACGCATACAATACCTGAACATGTGTGTACTTGAAGTCTATATAATAAGAAACACAGTGCCAAACAGGAGAAACTTTCCTTTGAGCTCTTGGTCAGGACAGTCCAAAATACTCCCAAAATTATACACGCTATTGTCACAGCCCTTGATTACCTTCCAGAACTTGAAGGTAAGACACTATTGCTGAAGACATGACGTATTTTGGACAAAAGACTTGGAGAAATTGATCTGGAACTGATGTGGAAGCCTCCTCCCTGAAGAATAGCTCTCATAGTTGTGGAGAATACTATGCAAGCTACTAAGGTATAAAGCTAATCAATTGTTCAACCTCAGCTTTTAGGTCTAATAATCACAACAATGACTGGCACAACAAACTATAGGGGTGCAGTAGTGGCATTTTCTTTTTTTTTATTTATTATCTTTATTTTATGTGTATGTATGTATTGCCTGCATGTAGGTAAGTGCACCCCTGTCATGCAGTGCCCGCAGAGGTCAGAAGAAGCTGTAGGATCCCCTGGAACTGGAGTTATGGACAGTTGTTAGCTGCCATGTGGGTGCTGGGATTCGAATCTGGGTCTTCTGCAAGAAAACCAGTGTTCTTCACTGCTTAGCCAACTCTCCAGCCCCCCTTTTTTATTTATTATTTAGTAATGGCACTTTCATCCTTGGGGTATTAACAGCTATCTAACTGTACTTAATGCTTTACAATGGGAGGGAACTTGTGTGGCACTGTAAACACAGCCAAATACACGGGACTGGAGTCATCATAGATTCTCGAGAAAACCCAACCTCTGTCACATTCCTAGACAAATGTAACTTCTTAGTGTATGCTAAATGTGGATTTTTATATTTACACCTAAGTATATCATCTCATTACTCATCAAAGAAGCATCATTTTGCAAATAGCTGACAATAGTGGGGAGAAGGAATTATGTGGGCATATGTCTTAGTATCACTAATTTTGTTCTGTTTTCATTATTAATAACTGGTTTGGCTATATATTACTTGATAAACATTTTTTGTCTTGTAATTTATAAAACAGTACTATTGTCATTTAATATAACTTTTTTATTTATTTGTGTATGGAGACATATGCATGTGTGCGTATATGCGTCCTAGTGTGTATGCACGTGTTGGACAGAGCATGACTGCATGTATGTGCATGTGGCTGTGGAAGCCAGAAATCAAAACTGGGTGCCATTCTCTAGTCATCCCTTCTTTAAAAGCATGTATTTCATTTGGACTTAGAACTCACCAATTCAGCTAGGCTGGCTGGACAGCAAGCTCAGTGACTCCACTTGTTTCTGTCTCTCCAGCACTGAGGTTGCAAGCATGTACCACAACCAAGCTTTTTACATGTGTACTGAGGATCAGACTCAAGTCCTCATGCTTGCTTGGCAAACACTTTACACCGAATCATCTCCCCACCCTCATTTATTATATTATTAATTTAGAATATAAGAAAAATAAAGGCACTCTGGAAACATCAAAGACTACGGGATAAATTACATAAGGAAGTAATTTCTGTAAAGGTTTTGCATTAAACCTCAAGGGACAGGATCTGGGGCAGAGCAACACCTGTGCTTACCAGCTGCTGTCCTTGCACACCCCAGGCTGCATACTGCAAGATGGAGTCCTCAACTTCAGGAGGATTCAACTCCCACACCTCCCTTGAAAAGATGTAGATATTTTTATGTGACCAGATTGATATCTATGAGAACATAGCTTGACAATGGATCATAATAAGCAGAATATCTAAGAACTTACCTGGTGTGTATGTTGTAAATCAAATATGAGGCCGTAAACGAATAATGAAAAATCTGAAATAAGAAAGAGCAGAGTCATCTATCACAGTTTGTAACATTGTCAATTTTGATGTACATTAAAGAATGAGCATAATGGAAAAATCAAAATGTGAAATATTCCAGTCTGCTGTTTACTTCTTTTGTGGCTTTTTAGCTAGCAAATTCTCTCTCTCTCTCTCTCTCTCTCTCTCTCTCTCTCTCTCTCTCCCTCCCTCCCCCCGCCCCCTGCAGAGGTCAACTTTTGTCCTAGTTCTTCAGGTACTCTTTGACTTGAAACTCACCAAATAGTCCAGACTGACTGGCCAGAGAGTCCCAGAGATCCTGTTGCCTCTGCCTCCCCAGTACTGGGACTAACAGGAATGCACACTCAGCTTTCTGCATAGATTCTGGGGATCAAACTCATGTCCTCATGCTTTCCTGGCAGGCACATTACCTACTGAACTATCCACCCAGCCCAGGACCCCTTACTCATTATTTTCTGTCCTTATAGAATTGTGAATAGATCTCTTTCTTGATTCTCTACTACCTATCAACTTCAAATTACTCTCTGACATTCAAGAGCTTTCCTCTTTGAGTTTCTATGTATTTTTCTGCTTCTGTCAACTTGTATGATAAATCACTCAATCTATATTTCATCTAAATTAAATGTATTTTTCCGGTGTATCTTTCCTGTATTTTTATTTCTTCTTCTTCTTCTTCTTCTTCTTCTTCTTCTTCTTCTTCTTCATGGATTCTGGTGATCAAACTCAGGTCCTTATGCTTATGGGCCCCACCTACGGTAGCCCCTCCTCCTCCTCCTCCTTCTCCTTCTTCTTATTTGTTAGGGCATCCTTAGTCAAGGTGTGAATTTTCTTTGGAATGCAACCCCTTCATGGATCTCATTTCAACCACTACATTGAAATTCATCTCACTTACAGGTTCTTAAGCTCTTAAGATACTTCCCATGGCCTAGAGTAAACATTCCTAGTATTTTAAACATGACTTCTTCCCCAGGAAAAGGACTGAATGAATGATCTTTGAATGTTCAGCCTTACCTATCTGATATCATGCACACACACAAGATTCAGTTGGTATTTGCTGAACAATTATTCTGAAAGGTAGAATGTAGCATGTAATTTATATTAAATAGCTAGTTGAAGATGGAAATCTTCAATATATCTTTTTAAGATTTTAAAAAAATTTATGTGTATGCATATGCACCTATGTGGGTGTATGTGCACATGCATGCTATTTATTGTGGAGGCCAGAAGAGGGTATTGGATCCCCTGGAGCTGGAGTTACATGCGGTTGTAAGTCATCTGGCATGGTGCTGTGGACTGAGCTCAGGTCTAAGAGCAACAAGTACTCTTAACATTGAGCCTTCTCTCTAGCCCCCTTCAAGATATTTTAGTGCTGTGCTCAAAGAGTCTTGCTTCTGGTCTGGGGAGATGGTAGTTATATAAAGCACCTACCACACAAGCATGAGGACAGGTTTCAGATCACCAGAGCCCACCTACAGCCAGTCAAGGGACTACATGTGAGTGACCCCAGAACAGTTTGGACAAGATGAGAGGCAGAATAATGGGGACCCTCAGAAGCTACTGAGTCAGCTCCTCTGACATCCACAGCAAAAAAATAAGAGACTTGTGGGCCAGTTCCCCTGACAGTCACAGGAGGAAGCAAGACACCTGTTGCAAACAAGGCAAAAAACAAGGACTGACAGATATGTGAGTTTATCCTCTGACCACTACACATGTGAAGACAAACAAGCATGCTGGCACACATACACACACACACACACACACACACACACACACCACTTCTTTTGAAGAGTTATTTCCCTGAAGATCACAGAACTGCTGATAGGGCATCACAAATGTTATATATCTATAACTACAGTGAAAAGCACAAAAACTATCTCTATGCTGTGGTTTTTACTAACTGAAAATGAGAAAAATTGAAATGGATGGATGAGGGAGAGCAATGCTCAGCATGTTCTCGTTCAGCAAAAATTATTTTTTTCTCTGAAGCTATATGAAGCTGGTAAAGAAATCTTTAATTCATCCAGCTATATTATTGCATTATTTACTCTAAGATTGATACTGATACTTTCATTTTCAGGATCCAGTTATGAAAGGGTCTTTTATTCATATAATGTGCATAAATATTGTTAATATTATCAAATAGAGCTCACTAGAAATAAAACTGCTGTTATTTCTCACTGTAATAATGACTTTGGCTAATCCAATCAGCCCCAAATTTGGCAAAATAGTGTGAACGCTCATGTTCTGTAGCAAAGCTGCGGCACTCAGCTTGCCAGCACCATGGTCTGCAATGAGGTTCACTGTTCTACTTCTTCCAAAGAAACTTTTACATTTGAAATTGCATTTATGATAGAATCCACAAATGTTAAAATTCACATTGCATTCAGGAAAAATCTATATCCCATTGAAAGTTTTATTATTTTTAATTTAGTTATATATGTGTGTGCATGCATGTGTTTGACTTTGTGTGGGTTCACATGTATGCAGACATGTGTGTGTGTGTGTGTGTGTGTGTGTGTGTGTGTGCACGTGTGTGAAGGTGGAGGCTGGAGGGCAACCTCAGGTATCTTCCTCAGTTGCTTTCCACCTTGTTTTTTGAGACAGAATCTCTTACTTAACTGAAGCTCACTGATTGATTGAACTAGCCTGGTTTAGCTAGTGAGTGCCAAGGATTTTCCTGTCTTTGCCTCCTCAGTTCTGAGATTACAAGCACACTCTACAATATCTGGTTTTTATGGGTTATAATGGTTCTGGGGATCACATTCGGGTCTTTATGCCTGTGGCAAGCATCTTACTGACTGAGCCATCTTACTTGCTCCTGACTGCAAGTATTATACCTCGAATCTATCAACATTCTATCTCCAATCGTTCTGCTCACCTAGAAACCTGCCAAGCAGGCAGTTACTCTTCATAGCAGACAATTATATCAGCTACATTATAAGTTCAAAGAAGCCATTCGCCCACCCACTAACCATCCAACAAATGTGTCTTGGGTTCTAGGCCATATTCATCTTGCAAGCAATACTTACTGTGCATTAAAAATTTGGGCAAAGCAACCACTGAGGCATAAGTCGGGTAGCTAGAGACAGTTGGTCTCTTTCTAGGGTAACTTATTTAGAGGTTGCTGGTTCTTCCATGCAAATTCAAAAGACTTAGATGAAGACTGGGGAAATGACTCAAAGATTGAAGTGCTTGCTGCATGGACATGAAGATCTGAGTTCAAATCCTCAGAAACCCATGTGGATGCTGGGTGGGCATGGGAGCCTACTTGTAATTCCAACATTAGAAGGAGATAAGAGATCCAGCCAGCTGGCTGGTGAAACTAGACACATTGGTGAGTACTGTGTTTGACTGATAGACTCTGTCTCAAAGAATAAGGTGAAAAGAGATATAGGATGATTCTCGAACATGAACCTCACACCTCTATATGCACAAGCACTCCCACAAATTCACCCACACATTCAAATAATACATACATATATAAAGATAACAGCCCCTTGATAGAAAATGGAAAAAGAAAAAAAAAACAAAATACTTACATACCCTGATGATGTGAATTTGAGAACAGGAAATACAAGTCTGAGTTCTGCTTTGTTGCTAATTGCAATATATCTATCTCCTAGTAGGTATTTATAGGCAGAAGATCACATCTACTCTTTTGTTAGTTTATAGCCCCAACTGGCACACATATAGCAGCTTGAAATAATAAATTATAGGGTTTTGATCCCATCCCTATACAGCAAACCAGAAGTTTGCCATCTTAGGATAAATTAGAATCTAGTACCTAACATGGATCAGAGTTGTTTTCTCATTTAATGTCTATTTCAGTGTACATGTCTGTGTGTGTTCATCCTCCAAAGACCTCAAATATGCTTTGTTCTATACCATTCTGCTATTAAAAATACATACCCACAGAGGGATTTAAAGAGTATGGGTGAGTGAGAGGGATCTTGAACAAGGCTAAAAGAAGAATGTGTGCTCCCCCCATCCCCTTCCCTCTGTCTACAATGTTGGGCAAATTTGAAAAGCAGGATATTCAAAGAGAAATAGATTTAAGTTTAGTACACATCTGCTTAAAGACATTTGTCTAAAGTCACCCCATCCCCTGCCTTGGACAGTATTCTCATCTTTACCCATTTCTCTCTGGTATTCCTACACTGAACTCAGTACTTTTGGTTCTGGTTCCCCTTCTTCATGGGCTAGGCAAGTCTAACTTCATGTTGAAGGGCAGCACAGGGTCACTTGAAGTCAGTGAAACAGTAGAGTAGGATGCAGACAACAATGTTCTGCAGTACCCTTGGTCAGAGAGGACACGTTAGCATGTGACAGGAACCAGTGGTCAAAGTAGAAAGCTGAAAACTCCTGCCTAAGGCCACTCAAGTCCCAGAAGTGCCCTCATAGAGACACGCATACATGGGATCGTATGTAGAGTTCTGTGTAATAGGCTAGAGCATAGATAAGAAAGCCAATACTTTGCAAATGAGCCCCAAAGCCCGCAATACACAAATGAACAAAAAATTCAGACTATGCAGATGAGCCCCCAAACCTAAGCTATACAGAGTACCCCAAAACCCCATGCTACATGACATAGAAGCCCTGAGTATCATACAATGGACTCTGGAGCAGATCAGTTTTCTTCTTGATTCAATTGGCTTCCTGCTTGTAAGTGTATTTTCTCTAATCTGCTCCTACTTTTTTTTTCTAATATTCAGATAACCCTGTCTAATTCTTTACTCCAAAACACAATAACCCAGAACTCCACCAGGAATGCCATACCTTTGCCATGACTGCTTAGTTATGCATAGCTCTGGTCCTCTAACCAAAACCTCATGTCAGTACTCCGAGGATGGATGGAGTCACTGGATTTCTTTGTTCCTCTTCCCAATGTGGCCAAAGTGACTCATTCTCCTTTTTCTTCTTTTCACTACTACTTGCATGTTTGATGGACCTATTGAGCATGGGTGACTGAACTTGATTTATTAGGGCTACCAG